TTTTTTTTACATATCTGTGCATGCATGTTTAGATAAGCACCAAACACGGTTTAATAATCGGCCGATGTTACACAGACCATGCATAACAAAATATAGGCTACTCAAACAAACAGATGAGTTAAGCATAGAAAATGTAACTTAAAATCATGCATAAATGAATGCAAATTAAATCTAAATAATGTCAATAAAATGGCTAACATCAAGAGAACAGACAGTGAGGGAACAGTAAAAGACAAAAGAGATAGTACTTGCCCCATTGTGCTGTGCCATTTAAAGATGGAAAGGCAGAAAGGATAGATCAGAGAAAGACTTAGTGTTTTGTACATGTGCATTTATGTAGAATAAATGTGTGCGCGCAAGCTTCTCTGGTAATGTATATCTTCTTCGTTTTAAGGAATAGTCACCATTCTGACATTTTTTTAATGAAACACATTTTCTGATTCCGGAAAGAATCATTCTTTTGATTCGGTTCTTTTCAGGAACCGGTTTAAAAATCAGACTGATCTGGTTGTCGAATTCACCTCTCTGATTCGAATGCCTTTAATGACTTTGGTCAGTTCGTAAAGCTTCAAAAGACTTCTACATACTACAGGAGCCATTTAGACTACATATGATCATATAGTGGTGTTTTAGGTACTATAAACATTCATTATATGAAAAGGAGCAACATAAAACAAACAGAAAAATAACAGCAATTTTCATTTCTGGGTGAACTATTCCTTTAAAGAATGTTCTGGCTTAAGTACAAGTTAAGCTCTGTCGACAGCATCTGTCAATTACCACGGAAACAGAAGTCTATGGGGCAACGAGATACGATTCGAAATCATTTTCGACTCAGTTTGCTAAATTGACAGCAAGCCACACGCCACCGACAGAGCTCAACCTGGAATAATTCTCCAAATGAGTTGAACGTCTGTGTATGTGTGCAGATCTGGAGCTCAGCAGCACATGTCCAGAGGGGAGGGAGCGTTCGCAGTCTCTCTTCCCAGCCGGGGCCCCTGTGTGCTGGGGAGAGTCAGATCAAACGCCTGGCTACATTGCTCAGGATGGGTGGAGACCAGCTGGACCTCAGTTTAATACAGAGAGCAGCCCTGACAATCGAGGTCACACACACACAAACAGGCAGACCTCTCTCGCGAGCCGATGAGAAATATTATTCTCAGCTATTTCATAAAACAATAGCTTTGCATGCCGAAGGCTCTATCTGATCTTTAGTAAATGATAGTGTGTTTGCTCAACGGAGCTGGTTTGTGTGTTCTGGGCGAACAGACGGTACTCACACATGGCTTGTTTTATAGTGTCCCCCATGTTTGCCTCGATGTAATGCAGACTGTATTCAGGCAAAACCAAGGCCAGGCTGCAAAACACCCACACACAGAGGAAAACGACAACATGTTTTATACATACAAATACTTAGGAGGGTTATGAAACACTTTGCATAGGTAAAGCCAACAAACCACCTGTAGTCTGTCCCGTTAACTGGCGCCCAGGTGTACGTCCTGACTCCTCGATCAATGTATCTCTGATATTGAAAATAAAAGGTATAGGTGAAGCAAATATAGACAAAATATGGTGAAAATTATAGAAGATCTACACACCTCATCTTGAGATTTCACAAGCGTTTCTATTGTTTTCTCCCCAGGGTCTCTGTCAATCATCAGAGTCCGTATCTGAGAGAGCGAGAGAGATCAGAAAAACTATAGTAATGATGGCAATACCATGGTACTTTGACTTTTACACTGGTACTACAGTGTTGAGTAAGTTACTCTAAAAAGTATTTAATTGCTCCAGTTAAACAATACAAGGATAGACATGAAGTGGCTCTTTTAATTATTTCAAATAAATCATATAAAATTGCATAAATCATTCTTGACCTGACCAAAGTATTTACAAGGAGAAAGTTACATTAAATACATATATATTAACATTAAATGTTAAATTTGGATGGTAAATCCACTATTGTTTTATACAGAATTTTTTCTATAGTCTAAACAGCATTTAATGCAATTACATCAGAAGTAACTAATTAAATTACAGTAATCCTTTACTTTTTCAAGGGAAAAGTACATTTACATGTAGTCATTTAGCAGAAGCTTTTATCCAAAGCGACTTACAAATAAG